ATCGAGCAGCCACTCTACTTCCCCTTTCTCCAAAAAAATCGAGACCCTAAAACCCTTCCCGTTCTCACAAACTCTTAGTCCCTCCGCCCTTCTTCCTTCACAAATTAAATCAAATGACTTATTTTCGACCGTTAGACACTTCCTCTCTCCAGGGAGTAACATGTTTTACCCACGAGCGAATGGCGGCCCAAGGCTGACGTTAGATGATGAGACACGCTCGACTTTTTAACAAATACTACGCTTATCTCATGAGCTATACGGATTTACTCTTTATCACTTACCTAGTTTACAAAATTTCATTTGATTCAAATCATAGTCACTCTCACTTTGAATTCTTTGATAGTGAGAATGTAATTCATTTCATGGTATGAGTTCAAAGAATTTAAAGTGGAAAGGATTACCAATTGAATTTTCCCAAAAAAATTCAAAGTGGAGGTGTTGATAACTAAAACACAAGAAATTATATGCTGATGCACATACCAAAGACTAATATTCTCATTGGAAGTGTTTACACCAAGTGTAAATTGAATTTTTATTTGAAATATCAAAAGAATTTTTATGAGAATTTTATTACTAAAGGCTTTTGGAAATTATTACATACATAGATATACATTATACCTTATTCATACACAACATAAACAACATCATTACACTAATCCAAAATCTGTTTTACTGTCTTTAATCCAAATTCTTATTCTTACCCATAGATATACACATATAGCATCATTGCGTATATAGATATGCATTATGTCCAAAAGAATGGTTATTTTATTACTAATAACTTTTTGCAAAAATACAAGTACCCATTCTGTTTTCCATAATACATTCCTTTGCAATTGCGTATATAGATATGCATTATGTCCAGAAGAATGGTTATTTTATTACTAATAACTTTTTGCAAAAATACAAGTACCCATTCTGTTTTCCATAATACATTCCTTTGCAATTTATCTCTTCCATAAATACTTTCTCTTCTATTTAGCTTTTCACCAGTAATACTAAAAATAGAACTCAATAGAAAAGCCTGGCAACATATTTTAATTCAATATAATCTTCTAATGCAATGATAAAATTTCCATGATTCTCTTCCTCTCCCAAGTTGACATTTATCAACAACTTCTATGACTCCTCTCAAATCATATTCCATTTTTTTAAACTTTCTTATAAGCACAAACCAACAATGATTTACAACTACAACATGCTTCTTGATCCACCCACTTAAAGTATGAGCATTTGTTACTTTCCCTAAAATAGGCATACCAAAAAAACTCATCCTAACCTTGATAGATGCAGAAACTAAGCAGCTGTGAAGTGATCAACCAACGTATGCCATATCCCTTGTTTTCCATCTGCCCATTTATCTCCCACTATCCCATTTTCTTTTTAATTGCCTTAGAAGTAGGAAGTAGCAGTTAGTATTTTCTGTATTTAAAGCATGAAAAATTAATGAAAAGGGAGATGAAGTTAATTCCAGAAAACTAGCAGTAATTTTCTCACCCAAAGCAGAAAAACTCATTTGATTTCATCCTTACTTTGACTGGGACCTAACATTGGTATCAGAGCTAGATACAGATGACCTCTACAAGACGCATTGGATTTGGAGCCGGCCTCGGTAATTGCAGATAGTTGATCAAATGGAGATGGGTTTGCGGCAAATTTTACCAGAGGAGACACCCCTCAAGCTGTTAGCAGACATGTTATTAGTAAGCTGTGAAGGCTCCAACAGCACCATGTCGGATATGCCTGGTCAGACGCGGCCATTCGGTGGACGGCGCCGAAAGAACCGATGGGGGATTTATCACTTCTTCTTCACGTTTCACCGTTTAGTCAGTTCTCAGTTGCCTGAGATGAAATTACCCATAATTGTGAGAAGGTGTATGTAGCTGTTGGCAAGTCGGTGGAGGAAGCTATGAGCTTGCTTAAATGGAGCTTTAGGCACTATGGTGTCAGAGAAATCTGTACATTTCATGTTCACCAAAATTCGCCAGTGACACTCACCTTCTGCAATTTCAGAAGAAGGCTCCACCTTCTCCACAAAAAAAAAAAGAACTGAAAAGTCCGGAGGGGAGAGAAGGAAGCTGAGGGAGAGGACCAGAAAAGCAAAAAAAAAGAGAAAGGTTGGGAAAACGAGCCAGAGAGCACAACACCAAACGTCATCTTCTTCCTCTATTCATGTCTGCAATTACAAGAATCAAATCCAAAAAAAAAAAAAAAAAAAAAAAAAAACCCCAACTGCTTCTACTGGGAAGCAACAAAGAAGAGGAAGATCTCGAACCAGAGAAGCCTGGTTAAACGGAAGCATAAACAATTTAGCAACATGAACCTTGAGGACAAGGTTCCAAAAATGGGGAAGGCAATGATAGATGTAGAAACTAAGCAGCTGTGAAGTGGTCAACCAACGTATCCTATATCCTTTGTTTTCCGTATGCCCATTATCTCCCACTATCCCATTTTCTTTTTAATTGCCTTAAAAGTAGGAAGTAGCAGTTAATATTTTCTGTATTTAAAGCATGAAAAATTAATGAAAAGGGAGATGAAGTTTATTCCAGAAAACCAGCGGTAATTTTCTCACACAAAGCAGAAAAACTCATTTGATTTCACCCTTTGCTCTGACTGGGACCTAACAAACCTTCTCAAAGGTGGATGTTGTGTTCATTTTGAGCTCTTATACAACAATTACTTATCTTTTTCCAACTTCCTTCTTGAGTGCTGGATAGTTTCGAAAGGTCCTCCATAATCAAAAAAAATAATTTTGATTTTTTTTCATAGGAGGAAGAAATAAGAAAACAGACAAAAAATAGATGGCAAGGGGCTTACATTAAGGAGGTTAAGGTTTTTACAATTTTCTTTTTGTTTAAAATGAAAAATGAACCAAAGAGATGGGGAGGATTTCTCTGGTAGATCAGAAGTTGCAAAACGGGAACAAAGTGAAGGGTTTTTGCTTAAGAGGAAGAAAGCAACAAGGGGGAAGGGAAGGAGGATGAAGAGAGAGCAAAGAGTGGTTGGCTTCAAAATAGAAGGGAAGACTAAGGCTTGGGCTCGGTTTATTATTTCTTTATAATTTAATATTTTTTTGTTAGTTTTTGTACATGAACAATACCTCCTTGATACCTTTGTAAATAACATTTATCGTTTGATATTTCAAAAAAAAAAAAAAATTTGTTGTTAGTTTTCATTAAATTTAAATTATTTTCATTAATTTTTCCACAATGGATTAAACTGAAAATTTTCCTATATTTTATGTATATATGTATTTAATGGATATATCTATTTATGCTCTTCTTTGCTCTCTCCCCCTCTCTCTCTCTCTCTCTTTCACATACACCCTCTTTTTCTCTCCTTAGTTAGCGGAGAACACAATCCCCTTTCTCCTTCAATTATTTTCTTATTACGTTTCCTAACTTTAGCATCCATTATTCATTTTTGAAGAAATAGGGCCTTGTGCAGGTTCAATGCAAGAATACCATGTTGTTGTGCAATTATTGCATGAATCTTCTTTTATTCCTTTGTCTTCATCTTGAGGAAGACTCAACCACCCTTCTAAGTCTACAGAGCATTCTAATAGCTCTGCCACCAAGGCCATCAAACCACCATTTAGTAGTTCTGTCCATAGAGGTTGTCGTGTCATGCAACGTCAATCATGCTCTTTTTCTTACATTTTAATTTGAAAGAATCGTGGATAGGGATGTGCAAAATCTAGTCCATACCAGAAAATTAAATTGAACTAATTCGTTTTGTCTGGAGCGAAAAGCTAAACCGGACCATTTTGTTCGATCTAGATCAGAAAAATGGACATAACCAGTTTGTATGACTCAGAACAAACCGATTTGTTTTGTCCATACCAGACTAGTTTGATGTGTCCAGACTGGACCTGACCAGACTAGGAATTGTCTAGTCCTTGGTTGTAAGATGTTGGGATTAAAAGTTTCAATTCATACGGATCCATTCCTGGTTTGGACCAGTAAATTAAAAAAATAAAAATTATGTGTATATGTATATATATATACATAATACATATGTTTTAATTTTTTGAAAGAAACCCTAAGATTAGAAACTAAAAACTCAGCACACACTGCCTAGCAGCCAACGACCTTCCTTTGTTGGAACTCCCTTCATGCTTTCTCTTTTTGTTTTCTTCGGAGTTGCTTTTTAAGTGATGTGTATTAAATGTTGTCACCTTTCTCGTCAATAGAGAGGAGAGAGAACTTTAGAATTCTCGAAATGCAAAATTCAAGAATTTTTTTTAATGAAATTCCTTCATTACTTGATTTCCATATTTATTAAGCCTTAATATGAAAATCACAAAAATTGTATGACATGTAATTTGAAGTATTCATTCGGTAGGAGAAGCTGAACCTTCACCTATACTTCTATATCTTCGTCTTATAATAGAGTAGAAGGAATAACATATATCCTTTGAGTAAATCAAGTCAGGGAAAAGGCTAACGGTGGAGCTTGGCACCTAAAGAAACAAGCCCATGTAAGTTTTTGGTTGAAAGTTATTGAAATATTCAAGTAGTTAACTTGAGAAGATGACCGTGTGCATGTAGGTGAATGGACCTCTATAAAAATCCTATATTTGTTTTCTCTCTCTCTCTCTCTCTCTCTCTCTCACACACACACACACACCCACACACACATTTTTAATAGTTTGTTAAATAGAGTTGTTTGTGCATTTAAGATCATATTGCCAACATTCATTCTTCTTATTCCATCATCATAGAATATTTGAATCAACAAAGAAAAAATTGTTTGTCAACCTTTCTTAACCAAATGGATTTTAACATTTATACCGAACAAAAATATAACTTAATAGGGTAAAATAGTGTTAAAACGAAAAGAAACTCAATTCATCTCCTTAGATTGCCTACCCTTCAGGCCAACATAATATTTATTTGGCTATGCTAGTTATATGTCTTTCACTTTTTGATGAATGAAAACAATGAGGAGAAATATTGAATGGCATATGTTAGGATAAACTTACTACTATGCATGTGGTTATCATTTAATTGCAACACATCAATGCATGTGCTGAGTCTTGAATCAGAACTTTTGAAAATAGGGAGGATATAGTATGGGGGAGGAAATTTAAAATCTTTTGACATATCTTAGTTTAAGTTTTAAAATTGAAGAAAGTTAAGTTTGTTATCTATCAAAAAGGGGGAAATGTAATGATGAACGGTATTTATTGATCTTGATGTTTAATGCAAACTTATTTTTGTTAAATTCATGAAGTTGATTATTGAGAATATAAGGTTGTTTGGAATCCTCTGATAACTTATTTGGGTTATATTCATGATTTTCAGATCCTATGTATGACTTAATTTGGTTTATTATGTTGGATCCTCTGAATAACCTAATTTGGTTGGATTCATGAAATTGATTATTTGGAATATGATGTTTCTTGGAATTGTCTGAATAATCTTGATAATATTGGTAGCTTCAAATCTTTAGATCTTAGTGTAAACATATTGAGATCTTTACAACCCTTTTTTTTTTTTTTTCTTGGAATTTGAAAATGGAGCATAAGCTAAGTGGGAGGCACTCCACCTCTGTCATTTACTATATCTTAGTCAAAAGTTCAAATACAAAAATTAAGTTATGTTGCTTACCAAAAAGGGGATATTGTTGAGAAATACATATTGATTTTGATGTACTACAATTCTTAATTTGAGATTTAAAATATATACGAGGTTAATAAATTAGAAAGCTGTGAAGAACTTCAAGTATAAAAATGTGTAGAAAGATATTGTTACAAGTTATTAACCTTGTATGAAAAAATTAAAAAAAATTCATGCATGAAGAACTTTTATATAAAAAAGTATGTTTGTGGGATATAGTGTCGTTGAAAATGTACTCCTAAAAAAGTTGATAAGATATTCAAACTTAAGTTGACAAAAAATGTTGTTCTGGATGAAGTGTATTTTTTTTTCATAAAAGTTAAAAAATGGACATTAAATGTTTTAAAAAAAATCTTTTTTCAATGTGTTATGCAGACTCGGTCGACACTTGTGTTGTGTTATGAAGTTAGGCATGTTGCATATTCGTTGTAAGAAAAGCTTTTGAAGCATGGTGAAATTTTCAAATTAGTGAATTGAGAAGGTGTAGTAGGCATATAACATAGTGGTTGGACCTCTCTATACATAACATTTGCATTCTTCTTTCTATACCTTTTTTTTTTTTTATAAAAAGAAAGTTTATATATTCTTGTGCATGCCATTGAATGCTAGTAAGTTGCACTCAATATTAGTAGTAGTTTACCTAGTAAAATCCTAAAAACTTGCAAAATCTAATTCATTATGACTTTAAACTAATACAAGTAGTTAAATTATTTTAATGCTAAAGTAAATTAATAACAAATTATCACTTTTGAAAAGTACAAGTCTAGTTGGATTTTTTTTTTCTTTTTATTTTTGTTATCAAAAAATTAGAAGTCTTAACTTATTTCCTAACACATATATTTTTATTTTTTATTTTTAATAAAATTTAGAAATAAATACTTATGAGAAATAGTTTTTTCTGTGATAGGTGACTGATATCTTTAATCAGTATATTCATTAATTTTATATTTTATTAATTTAATATTTTTTTAAAATAAAAAACATAGTATTAATTGTTTACTAATAATTTAGAATCACTATTTACATTGAATATAATAATTAAACTAAAGTAGAAATTTTAATTTTTGAAAATTAAATAACTATGATGATAAATTTTTGTTAATTTAATATTTATTTTTAAATTTATAATATAATTAATTAAAACAAAACATAATATCTTTTATAAACAATATTTATTATTAAACACATTATTGAAAGCAAATATCTAATCTAATACTCCCAACTATGAAAAAAAATTTACATTTTAATTTTAAATATTCTTCACTATGATTTTCTCCTTGTACTTTTAAGTTTATTTTAAAGTATGCTTGAAAGGAAATGATGTAGATATTAAAGAAAAAAAAAACAAATAGAACATGCTAGGAGGAACTTTTTTTTTTACTTAAAAATAATAATAATAATTTATTTGAAAAATTAAGAGAAAATCTAAATATGTTTTCTAAAATTATCCTTTCACAGACTTGTTATTGATTAATTAGACATTATTAAGACTAATAAATAAATAAATAAATATCAAATAATTAGCTCCTTCTTTGCTAGTTCCAGTCGACTCTAGAGCATGTATACCATATTTCTTTCTCATATATATACATATACATATACGTAAGCAACAATATATATGTACACACACACATAAATCTTTATTTACATTATCTTAGATAGATTAATGTTTATTTTGCACAAGAAAACATATAATGTGATAAAAAAAGAGAAAGAAAAAGACCTAGTTCGATTATTTGTTTTAAAACAACTGATTAAAATATTATACACTAATTTTTTTTAATCAAAATAATAATTACTAATAAATATTGTTACTAATAATTTTATTATAGATGCCCAAACGACGTCGCGTCGAGCTCAGCATTCTTCTGCTTTTACGATAGCGTCAACGACGTCGTTTCAATCCAGACTCTGCTTTAACCCGTCGGTTTGCTAATTAAAAACCAATAAATTTTCAGGGCTTCTTCACTACTTCCCTGCTTCTCTTCACCGCCGAACAGAGGAAGGAACCCCCAGAAGAAACCCGGACGACGTGAGAAGAATCGCGCGCAGGACGCCATCCGACAGGGGTCTGGAAAGCAGGTCGGATATTTGTTTTTGTGTATAAATTTGTAATCAAGGATTAGGTTAATGCAGGATACTAATAAGTCAATAGGTTTAAAAAGGGGTCTATGTTGGTAAGGCAAACCCGCCCCAAAACCCTTCCGTGACAATATATAGTTTTGATGCTTTTTAGCTATCTTGCATTTTTATGATATTCTTTGTCTCTTCCTTATCAGTAACCATGGGAGAAGAGTCCCCAAACCCTAATGTTCTCCGCCAGAATCCAAGTTCATGCTGGAGCAATATAGTAAAGAATCCGCCAACATCAATTCCCCGGATCAAAAGCCAAACAACCGCCACGAGTGAAGTCTTGGTGGAAAGTTGCAAGTCCACTAAGGGAATATCGGTGGCGGTTGTGGATGCTAACGCTGTGATCGAAGGTGGTCAAACTCTCACAACCTTTGCCGACAAGTTCGTAACGGTTCCTGAGGTTCTCGCTGAGATTCGTGACCCTGTTTCCCGCCACCGCCTCTCATTCATCCCCTTCTCCATTGACGCCATGGAACCCTCACTCGAGTCCCTCAACAAAGGTATGTAAACAAAAATGCTGTCTCACATATCTTGATATTGTTGCAATTGGAGTTCTCTTTATGGTTGTTTTATGTTCAATTAGGTGATGCTGTTTTTTTATATGGACACCTCAGTTTGAGGATCGAAATTTTGGTTCATCCCATATTTAGATATTGTGGTTATGTTAGCCTCAGCAATTGCATTGGGGCTGGTTCAGGGACGCTTACTGATGCTCATAATAAATATGGTTTGCTTTGGTGTTTGTATTTTTCTGTTATCCATTAAATTGTAGAAGCTTGTGTTGTAGTAGGGTGTTTGGATTGGTTTATTATTTTGCATAGAGCTTTAAGGAGGGAAAGTGTTTGGATATTTAATTTTCTTCTTTTAGATCCTAATAAGCTGTCAAGTGATCGTTAAAACTAGATATTTAAGTTGAAAAATTAGTAAAATGACTAAAAAACAGTATGTAGGTGATCGTTCTCAAAAACATTCGTCCCAAAGAAAATCTTAAACATTAAGTCCTCTTCTTTATCCTCTACATATTCATCATCATCAGACCTAACAAAATAATCTTCCCATGAAAAAAAGGACTTTCATTCATTACTCAACAAAATTTCTTCTACTTCCAGAGCCAAACAAAGAATTTAATTAATTAATTTAAAGAAAAACAACAATTACTTTCCCAGTACTAGAATTCTTGATCAAAAGTGGACTTTACAATGTAAAATGAGTCTGCTGGAGATTGAAGGTAGTTGAAAGGGGGAGTGCTTAATTTCGTAAGTGTTTAAATATAAAATGAATGAGTGGCAATGGATCTTCATTCGAGTTGATGGCAGAGGTGACAAGAAAGAGACATTATGGGCAGATTAGGAGGAATGCAAGAGAAGATGGGATTTTTTGTGGGTCATTGATGGAAACTTCAATATAGCATTAGAGATAAATGGTTGCATTCTTTTGAGACCATATTGTTAGGTCATGACGTTATTAGCGATGTAAATTTTGAGAATGTCATTGAGCCTTTAACTCTTTTGTAAATCTTTTGTACATGGGTGGTACCCCCGTTTTGGTACTCTGTTAATACAATACTTTATACTTTTTATTTCACAAAAAAAAAAAAATGATGGAAACTTCAATATGGCCCTTAACTGACATGAGTAGTTGGGGAAGAATTTCTTTAGAACATGAGCCAAGGAGTTTCAAGCCATTATGGGCAGGTTCAATGTTATGGATATTCTTCTTTTTGGAGGCAAATGGACTTGGTTGAATTACACGGAGGTTCCCATTTTTTCTAGAATTGATTGATTCATAGTTTCAATAGACTTTCAAGAGTAGGTGCTGGGATTTATGCAAAAACTTTGGCAGTGTATGGTTTCAGATTATTCTCCTATTTGTTTGGATTCCAGTGGCATCAGATTGGTTCATGTCCATACAGATTTGGCAACAAGTGGCTCACAGTGCTAATTTTTAATGAGAAATTAAGGATTGGTGGGAAGAAATGCTAGAGGAGGCCTTTCCAGTTACAGGAAGTTATCAATTACCAAAGAAAAGATCAAACAGTGGAATAAGGAGGAGGAATTTGGGGTGGGGTTCAGAAAAGGGTGCTTTTTTAGCTTGATAGTTTGGGAAGGGGAAACAGGTCTAACTGGTGAGGACATAGAAAAAAAGAGAATTTGGCTTCAAGTAGCGAACTTGCTTCTTATGGAGGAAATTGCATGGAGACAAAAAAGTCAAGAGCCAAATGGATAAGGGAAGCGGATAGGATTACTAAATTCTTTCACTAGTTTGGTAAACCATAACAGAAAAATGCAACTATGTAGAGGACTTCGAGTTTAGTGGCCATGTTGTAGAGGGTAATAAGGTTTTAGGTGAGAAAGTCAAGGCTGATCTTTACACTAAAGATGCTCCATGGAGCTCACTTAGGCAGGTTGAAGTTTAGTATACTTGGAGATCATGATTAAATGTATTTAGAGACATTCTCTAGGGAGAAGATTCTTGATGGACCCATGAGCTGTCAGGGTGACAAAGCCCCCTGATGTCATGGTTTCTTGGGGGCTCTAAAAGAAGATCTTATTGCATTGAGAAGTTCCATAAAACATGTTCCTTCTTAAAGAGCTTAAACAACACTCTTCTAGATTTTATTTGAGATTGGTAGGACCTCGAATGTAAAAGATTTTAGACCAATTAGTCTAGTGAGTGGTGTGTATAAACTTATTAAAAAGGTCCTAGCAAGGAGGTCTGCTAGAGAGGTGGAAAGTGTGGTGAGATAGTGTCAACAAGCTTTGTAGGCATAAGGCAAATTTAAGATGTGCTAATTGCGGATTTGATTGTTGACAATCTTTTGAAGAATAAGGTAAGTAGGGTATTATGCAAGCTTGACTTGGAGAATGCCTATGTTAGATAGATCGGATTTTGGAGATGAACAGCGTATATGGATGAAAACTTGCATTACTTCTGCCTCTTTTGCAGCTATGGTGAAAAATTGGCCATTATCTTTCTTTAAGTCTTGTAGGGGTTTCAGATACGGTGACCCCCTATCTCCTTTGCTTTTTATGATTCATTATAGTGGCTTTTTATTAGTTGATGTTGAGAGCTACAGAAGCTCATTTATTCAAGGTGCTGAAGGTTGGGGAAGGAGAGGAGAAGGTGGAGATGACTCATTTATTTTTTGCGGAGGATATACCATAAATTTTGTGAGCTGGAAACTAATGTCTTACTTGACATCAGATGTGTCTTAATGTGCTTTCAAGCAAATTCTGGACTCTAACATAAATTTAGCGAAGTCTGAGTTAGTGCAGATTGCTGACAGCAGGGGAACATGTTACTTGGCCAGAGTCCTGGGTGTAGAAATACGAGCCTTTCCATAAAATACTTGGGGTCGCACTTGGAGTGAAATTGGAGGAGATCAACATGGAATCCAGTGGTTAAAAGATTTGGGTTACATTGGCAGCATGGAAAAAGGGCTATGTAAAGGAGGAAGGCAAATGGACATAAAAAGCTCTTTGGCTATTATTCTCATTTGTTTCATGTCTTTGCGTACAGTTCGAGTTAGCATAGCAAAGAAGATGGAGACGATCCATTGTAGGTTTTTATGGGGTGACTCAAATGCGAAAAGGAAATGCTATATTACCTTAGGGCAAGGTTATGTAGATTCACGAGGGAGCAGTAGTTTCTGGAGGTGAGTTTGACAAGGAATGTCTGTGTTTGTATACAAAAATACCCAGAGGTCTGTATAGAGTAGGGATGTGGAAGAGAATTTTCATGGGAAAAGGAGTCCTTCAAAATTGTATTAGATGGAGAATGGGATTGGGAGAGAGGGTGAGATTTTGGTGGGATGAGCGGATTGAAGGTGGGGCCTTCTCCAACAAGTTCCCACAATCTTTGCTATTGCCAGGAATAGTGATGCCATTTTCAAGGTTTTGTTCTTGGGGTCAATTGAAGTTGATGACGAATTTTTAATGATTTGGAGATATTTGAGTATATGAGGCTACTGAAATATCTTTCGCATGTGGTGATCTCTAGTGCAATTGAGGATGAACCAATTTGGATGCTGAACTCGATGGGAGTCTTCTTTGTGAAGTCTTATTACCTGCAGTTGGCTAGGGGAGAGGAGGATTGAGAGAAGTTTTTGTAAGGAAGCCTCTTAAAATGTATTGTAGAAAAAAGGGCAAAATGGGAAAATATTGTAAAGGTAAAGGATAGAACGGTCGTTTACTCAGATTCTCACTTGATCACTTGCCACCTGATCGGGGAAGTCTGGTGTTGCAAGCACACCCCCTTGATCAGGTAAGTTTGATGGTTGTAACTACACCCACTTGAATCAGTTGGTGCTCAGGATGTTATAACCAACAGGCGCGCCTTCCCTAAACCAGGCCTATAAATATGGCCCTGTGTTTAGAATTGTAATTTTAGAAAGTAGACTGAAATTCAAGCTGTGAAACTCTCTCTCTTGCTCTCAACGATTACTCTTCTTTTTTACTTTTCTTCCGATCAACTCAAATAAGAACCATGAGCAAGGTTCCTGACAGTTCTCCTCGAGGCTGATTTGGGAAAAGATAGCACCTAATTTTTTTTTTTAAAATTTAAAACACAAAAAGCAGTGAGGGAGTGTATCCTAACATTGGATAAGCTGATAAGCAGAGGGAAGATTCTGGACAATAGGTGTTGCTTGTGCAAGAGAGGAGCGGAGTCATGTTTACTTCTTTGGTGTCCTTTTGCTTATTGGCTATGTTTTTGGCATATGGTTAGCTGGTTCAGTGATGAAGAAATTATGGGCTTGAAAAGGCATCCAAAGATATAAGCGAGTCATCAAAACTTCAAAGTTTATTCCATTGACTACCTTTTGAGTCATATAGAAATAGAGGAGCATGAGAGCTTTTGAGGGTATAGAGTCTAATTTTAATAGATTTATAGGTTCTTGGTTCCAGATCCTAAGCATTTTGATTATGGATCACCCCTTTTATCAAGGTTATTCTTTTAAAGGTTATTTTGTCAGATTTATTATGAGTGTTTGAGGATGAAGAAAAAGCTTGGTGTTCAGGAAATTGTTTTTGGAAGTTTTTACTTCATTTGTTAATTTTAATGATGGTTATGAATATATCCAATGGTGTTGTGCCACATAGCTATTCATTGTCATGTCATGCGAATTGTGTATTATTCTTCCCACATCAAATCCTAAATGTGCACGGGTCTGATGTTAGGACATCTAAACTGCTGTCTCATCCTCTGTCAATGGAGGGATCAAATAAATTTCGAAAGTGAAGGATGTGATTAGATGCAAAATTTGTACATCACTCTTTAAATATTTTTAAGCAGTACTTGGGTATTTTGAGATATTTTACTGAAATAATTCTTGATTTAATAGAAAACATCACAGTCAAATAATGTGAAATTTGCTTATAACCGTTTGAAATTTATATATATTGACTCATGAAAAAGCTATATAGCAAAAAAATTCATCTCAACAGTTCTATATTGATTTTACTGAATGGTTACTGGAGAGTGCATGATACAAGATAAATGAATATCTCAACAGTCCAATTGAATGGGTGGGATGAATCTGATTAAAGTTTGGCTTGTAACTTACAAACTACTAATGCATTTTCTTGTAACCTTGCAGTTGTCAAGTTTGCAAAGGCAACTGGTGACTTACAGGCTCTTTCAGATGTTGATCTTAAGCTAATGGCACTGACTTACACGCTAGAGGCTCAGATACATGGAACTAAACATCTAAGGGAACTTCCTCCTCCTGTCCATTTGATTAATGTAAAGAGGTTACCGGAGAAGGACCTGCCTGGGTGGGGTTCCAATGTTTCTAATCTGGAAGAATGGGAAGCATTAGAAAATGAATCTGAGAATAAATCAGACACCAAATCTAGGATCCTCCCCTTGAAAGATTTAAGTCTAAATACTGTATCTTCAGATAACCATTTTGACGATGGCCTGGTGGGATCTCAAGAGGACACTAATTCAAAGAATCAAGATTATGATGGCCATGGTAGACCTGGTAGATATCTGCCCCAGAAGAAAGAGATAAGCACTGAAGGTAAGAAGATGGTGGCCAGTGGGATTGATGCCTCACGGGGACAATTTGATGATAATGCTGATGACTGGATGCCTGCTGTAAGTCGAAGTACACACAGAAGATACCTCAGAAGGAAAGCTAGACGTGAATATCATGAGGCATTATCTGAGAGAGACTGTCAGCAAGATCAGGGGAAAAGCACAGAGGATCACATGGTTGAGGATAATAATTGTCCAGATCTAGAGTCGGGTCAAAGCTATGAATATTCACATGCTGGAAATGGAATTTCGGAGAATAATGAGATGAAAGAAGGGAAGAACTGTGGTGAAGATCTTTCCTCCATGCTAGATGAGATGAGGCTGGAGGAACATTCGTTAGAGGCTCATCAAGAAGATGCTGCTGGACTAAATTCTTACAATTTGGTAAATAATAACAATAGACTTATCGCTATCGAGGGGGATGAGGTTGATGTGGTCAATGAAGTAGTAGATCACGTGGAGGTTTCAAGCCAGACAAATGAAACTGTTGATGCATCCTATGCAGATGATATTAGTAATGAACAGAGTCTGATGCTGAGATCCTTGTCGGAGTCTTCAGTAGCCTGTGTAACTAGTGACTTTGCTATGCAAAATGTTCTTCTCCAGATGGGCTTACGTCTTCTGGCACCTGGAGGCAAGCAGATACGCCAGGTGCAAAGGTAAATTGATTGGATGCATATTGCTCATACGAGTGGCTTCTGATTTTGTGTTAATTTTTGCATATTGCTCATGCTAGTGGCTTCTGATTTTGCCTTAGTTACTTTTTGCATTATGCCTTAGTTATTTTTTGCATTATGCTAGAACCTTTCATATGCAACATATTTGTTGTTTATAGATGCTTTAAATTTCATTTGATGAATTAGAAAAATACATCTTTGTTTCTTCCCCATTAAGTATTTGTTGTCGGTGGGGACAACGTCCTTTGTTGGCTGGGTGGTGGTCTAAGATTATGTTATTGGTTTATGTTCTTATTCATTTATATCCAGGTGGGTCCTGAGATGCCATGCCTGCTATATTGTAACTGCTGAAATTGAGAGGATCTTATTGATTCATCAAACTGCATTTTGATGAGTCAGAAAAATATATCTTTTGTTTCTTCCCTGTTAGGTATTTGCTGTCTGTGCGGACAACCTTCCTTGTGTCTGGATGTGGTGTCTAATATTATGTTATTGGTTTATGTTCTTACTCACTTATCTCCAGGTGGATCCTGAAATGCCATGCCTGCTATACTGTTACTGCTGAAATTGGGAGGATCTTCTGCCCAAAATGTGGTAATGGTGGCACGTTGCGCAAGGTAGCTGTTACAGTTGGTGAAAATGGCATTACCTTGGCTGCCCGTCGGCCGCGGGTTACACTACGCGGTACAAAAGTGAGTACATATATCTGATCAACATCTGGAGTAGTTTAGGTAGCTCTGTGTTTTGGTTCATTTGCTTTGTTGCTAATTATATATTAAAATATTTGTTGAACATTTTGAGAACGGACCATAGGCATTTGTGCAGTATCATCTCATCCTTTATGAACAAGGGAAGTGGAAAGGAAGCTTGTCTATCTCTGGCAATGCCAAAGTAAAAGAAGAATTTCCTTTAATTTACATATATGTGATCAAATTTTTGTGGTAGCTGCTGCATTTGCCTTAATGCATTTATTTTCTACGCATTCTCAATGGCACATTGATGTATAATGAAGCCTGGAACTTCTGTGCATTTTTTTATGTAGCTTTCTTGGGAATATGTTGTCTTAGCTTGACATTTGGTTTTGTGCAGTTTTCACTTCCCGCGCCCAAGGGTGGAAGGGATGCAATTGCGAAAAACCTTATTCTACGTGAAGATCAGCTCCCACAGAAACTTCTCTACCCGAAGACAAAGAAGAAAGTGAATAAGGAGGTTAGCTTTGTTTGTTATCATTAATTTCAGTTATACATCTGTAAGTGCATCTGTGTGGGGCTTATTACCTTTTTTTTTTTTTTTTCCTTGCTGAGCTTTGTCTGTGCTTCACTAAACATGAGATTTCACATTTTCAATTTTCTAGGGGGATGATTTCTTTCCTTGTGATGACATTTTCACCCACCATAGCGAGAAAAAGGCTCCACATCAGGCTACGGTAAGGCAGGTATTGGCAGTTTTCAGCGGAAAGAGGAATCCAAATGATAACCATTATTCGCGTTCTAAGCGCGAATAGATTCCACCTGAAGGAAATCTAATGTTGGGATATTTACTGGTTTTTTCCATGCCCTGCCAGCACAAACGTGAACTTGTTTGTTTGTGTTTTTCCCTTTA